GGTGCCTTGCATTGCTTACTGTATACATTGAAGATGTCATCTGCTTAGTTTAGACATGCTTTGTGTCAATGTCATCTGTTTAGTTTCTTTATCGTATATGTGAATCATGCAATGCCATCTTGTCTAGCCAGGCATCATATATGTGAATTTTGCAATGCCACCCTGGTTAGCCATTCATCTTATATGTGAACTATATCATGCCATCATTTTTTTATTACGTGTTAAATTTGTCAACAATTTTAGTACATTCAATTACTCTTCCTGTGCATCAGCCATTCGGCATGGTCATGGAAAAATCTGGAGTGGAAACAAGGTCTTCAGAGCAAACAATGCTATCTGACGAAGCGCATATCTTGCTGGTTACCGATAGCTCCTCAGAGGAGGATTCAGAGATAGATGACCAGTCATATCCCCCCCCAGAGGTGCATGCCCTAACTTGGCAGGGTTATGTTACTCATATCGTGCGTATGGTATCTTGCATTGCTATGTCATTTGCTTAGTTTAGACATGCTTTGTGTGAATGCCACCTGTTTAGTGTCTAATTACCATATATGTGAATTATGCAATGTCATCTTGTTACAAGACATTATATATGTGAATTATGCAATGTTATCTTGTTGCAAGGCATTATGTATGTGAATTATGCAATGCCATGCCGTTTAGGCAAGCGTCATATATGTGAATTATATCATGCCGTCCTTTTTTTGTATTTATCATTGCTTTTGTCGACAATGTTCGTATATTCAACTGCTCTTCCTGTGCATCATCCATTTGAATTGGTGATGGAGAAATCTAGAGTGAAAACAAGGTCTTCAGAGAAGACAATGCTACCTACTGAAGTAGATATCTTGCTGGTTACAGATAGCTCTTCAGAGGAGGATTCAGAGGCAGATGACCAGTCCTATTATTCCTCTGAGGTGTATGCTCAAACATGGCAGGGTTATATTACTCATATAATGCATATGTTGTATTGCAATGCTTAGTTTTTACATCATATACACAATATTGAATGCCATCTCCTTAGTTGACACATCATATATGCGATTGCCCTCTGCTCACTTCCTTAGTATATAAATCATATATTTGAATTATGTCATGTCATGATGTTTACATAGACAACATGTATCTGAATTATGGCATGCCAACCCATTTTCTCAAGACATAATATAGTTACATCATCTCATCCTGTTTACATAGTCATCATATTTTAAATTATGTCATTCTATCCGTGAATTATATCATGCCATCATGTTATCCTGTTTAATTAGTCATCATATATGTGAAATTATGACCTGCTATTCTGTTTGCTTAGACAACATAAATGTGAATTATTTCATGCCCTCTTTTCTTCCCTACTATCCATTGCACCTGTCTATCTTACAATGTCTGTACATTCAATTACTTTTCTTGTTTATCAGCCATTTCAATTGGAGGGAGTGATGGCAGTATCCGTGGGAGTAAAAACACGGTCTTCGGAAAAGATCGTGCTACCTGTCGATGCAGATAGAACCACGGTTGTACTTGCCCAAGAACCAGCCCCACCACACATAACCCACACTCATGCAGATTGTACCCCTACCCAGTTGGACAGAGAACCAGCTACACCCCTTCTAACCCCAACCCCAGCAGATAGACACCCAGTTCCCGTTGACACAACACCGTCTCCACCACAGAACACCCAAACACGAGCAGTTAGTAAGGCAACTGTAGTGCCCAAATCACGAGGACCACCACTCCGAACCCGAAGTCAACGCTTAAAGCAGCAGAAGAATTGTTCTCAGGTCAGGTTCCGTAGTTATGGTTCATACTACTTTGCTCTTGCATCACTGTATTTACTGATACCAACTAATTTCAAATTTGAAGGATGCAGTTGAAACTCCAATGGTGCAACAGGTATATTTTAAACTTGTTTCTTCAACGTGTTTGGCTGTTTGCTGTTGTAACTTGCTCTATATTGATTTCAATTTCAATTGAATAAACAGTTATTTTCTCATGCCATGCACATTACAAGTGTTGTTATTGCTGTGTAGTTTTCCACACTTATATTCTGTCTATGCTGCTTTGTCTTAAATAGATAAGATTCGAACTGTATCTATCTTGATTTGGCAACATAAACTAGAATGATATAGACCATATAGTGACCATACTACATAGATATATGTTTGTTTCATGCTGTTATCCTGTCCACCTTACTACTGAACTGGTTTACGAAAATGAGTTTCATATACTAACATTGTAAACTTGAGATGTGTTTGTTTGTTTCTCTTTTAGAACACGGCTAAAATATTGGAGAAGAGTACCCTATTATGCAATGGTAAAGGAAGTAATGCAAATAAGGTTCAAGATAGTGAGACATCCCTGTTGGTCTCCAAGAAAGCTGATAAAAACTATATTGAAGACACTGGGACAACCCCAAAGTCCTTTCTTGATGTAGTGTTCGAGTTACTGGCTACCACTGCTGGCACCAGCTCTTCGAACTCTTTGCCTGAATCAGTTCTGCTTCTTGAGTCTCAACTTCAAGTTGAAAGACATCGATCAGATGTTATGCGACAGGAAGCCGAAGGACTGAGGAAGTCCTTGCAGAATTCAGATGCATACTTTCTGGTGCAACAGCAAGCGCTGGAGGACTTAAGCGCCAAACAAGAGAAAGTTAATAAGCTTACTAAGCATCTTGCCAGCATTATGGGTACCCAGGATATTGTTTCTTGAGCTCTTCTGAAGTGGTTTCAGTTCTGTACTTGTTTTGTTGCGGCGTTTATATGCTGCTGTGTTCCCTATATTTGCACTGGTGGTGAACTTTGATGCCCAGTGGATGTAATATCTGTAATAGCCGTGATAGCCTAGTGTAAGTTGCTTGCTTATTTATTTCCTTGTTGTCTTGTTTATTTGTTTGCTTGTAGTCAGTGCAGTTCTTTTTCTGCGGTTTGCTAGTGGCTGCAATAACCTATTTTTAAAAACTAGGCCATAATATCCATGGGCTAATATTTACTGTATGACACTGTGCCTCCTACGGGCCGTAGAAACAGTGGGCCTTCTACGGGCCATAGAAGCAGTGGGCCTTCTACGGGCCGTAGAAACAGTGGGCCTTCCACGGGCCGTAGAAACAATGAGCCTTCTATGGGCCGTATCATCAATGGGCCTTATACGGGCCGTATGATCGATTGACCAAACATGGGCCAAACAGACCGCATTCAGGCCATAAACGGGCTAGAGTTGGAATTGTTCGTTCATAGGACGACCATAACGGGCCATCGTTAATAGGCCGTATTTGATGACGCTATGAAAACGGCCCAACGTATTAACGGACCACAAACGGGCCGACTGTAACCACGGGCTGAATTTGGCCCGCAAGCAAAAAATGACAGTAACGGGCCGTAAGTAAACGAAAGCTGGAAATGAGCCCAAGAATAAATGGGCTCTAATAAGGCCGAAAGATAACATGGGCTGAAAACGGCCCAACGGAATAACGGGCCGTTAATGGGTATAAAGTGATACACTATTCTTTACGGGCCAGTTTCACCACGGGTCGTTAATGGGTGTAAAGTGGTACACTGTTCATTACGGGCCAGTTTCCCCACGGGCCGTTAATAGGCCAAGAGTTACGTAGGACCTCATATGGGCCGAGAGACGTCATGGGCCGTACATGGGCCAGAAGTGAAAACGGGCTGGAATCATATTGGGTGGCTCAGATGACGCTACTGGACCTAATTCAAATAGGGCGTAACGGGCCTTGGGTTAGCGGGTTGTAAATGAGCTATATGCGAACAGGCCGTTAACAGGCTTTCCATGGGCCGGCCCGACACCTTTTGACCAAGTCAAACGGGCTGGCCTTTTCACAGGAATGGGCCTCTGTTAGGCCGTGCCACGTGTCGACGTATTATAGGCGCCTTCTGTCCAATGAGTGGATGGCATTTGTCCCAGCGATGAGCCGACACGTGTTTCCTCCAGCCAATGATGATTTTACACGTGAAAAATCTCCATTGGTCTGGGCTGTTAACGGGTTATCGATCCAAAACCCGACCCGATAGCTTAACGGCGTTCCGTTATGGTGGATGCCACGTGTCGGTCACCCTTGAGGAAAGCACTTTTGTGACGCGCGATTTATCGTCATGGAAGTGGACACTTCCGTGATGATAATTTTAGTAATGTCATGAAATACTTCTACGACGACACATGTATGACTATCTTGATTCTGTCATAAATTTGTCATGAATGTACATGCATGACAAAAAACGCGACCTACTATGACAAATACGTATCATCACGGAAGTGTATTTTTTTTATAGTGTGAGGTGACGATGGGCCGCCTGCTAGGAGCCGGCCCATGCTAACGTCGCCTTCTGAGGTGCGCCGCCTCCTAGGAGGCGGCCAGTTTGCTCCAGCCGGCCACGGAAGCCGGCCTTGCGGCCAGTCGGACTGAGGGACTAGGCTAGCCCTGATGTCTTGAAATCCGCTAGGGCGTGAATGAGGCTACCCGGAGTTTATCCCCCGTCAGTGCGAGTTTTAGAGATATGACACCCATTGAAGCAAATTAAATACTCCCTCGAGGCCATGAAACTTCAAAATTATTTTACCATTGGTAAAAAATCAAATATTCTCTCCGTCCGGAAATACTTGTCATAAAAATGAATAGAAATGGATGTATATAGAATTAAAATATATCTAAATACATTCATTTCTTGGACAAGTATTTCCGAACGGAGGGAGTATAAATTTGATGGTAGTATGATTTTTGTAACATATAACACGCTCCTTCGAGAAAATAAAGTTATCTAATGCAGCCTGGGTCCTTCGAGAATCCAGATCCCTCTCTAGCTAAAAGTAAATGATTTCGGCTTTTTAGCAGTCATTAATTTAGAAATGCTTGACTGGAACGGCACGCTTCCTCTGTTCGGGAATACCATTCGTCTCTGAACACACCATCAACTAGCACATCGATTGCTTATCTCGCCTTCAACCTTCCGGTGTTCAACCATTTCCCTCTCCCACGCGCACGCGGGATGGCAGCTCACGCCACCGCCGCCGCCGCCGCGCCTCTTCCGCCGCCATCGGAGCCGACGGCCGCCTTCGGTACGAAGCCGCCGCCTAGTCCGCCGCCGCCGCCGCTTTCGGCCGACGAGTCCGACGCGCCGCCAAAGAAGCGGAAGCTGGAGGAGTTGGGGTTTCACGACTCGCCCTACTGCAGGATCAGAGAAGCTGTCGCCAACCTCCGCGGCCGCTTCCTTCAGGTCCGCACACCAAACCCTTAATCTCTCCCTGCACTCCGTTCAGTCTTGGTAACTGCAGCAACTTGCATAATCGTGCTATTTGTTGGGGTTTTTTACCAGGAGTTTTTTTTTTTTGGAGTAATGCTTCAGGCTAGAATGCTGGTAGTAATGCTGTGCTTGCTAGTGTAGTTGTTGGAAATTGGGTTAGCGACTGAATGAAAAATTTCCAAGGTTCAGTGTTGGGCTCATGCTAGTTTCAGTTGAAATGTATGGTGTTGGTGCAGCGGAGAAAAGGGCATACATCTGCAAAATAGAGACTGGAGCTCATAAAGACGGCGGTGACCACTGTAGCTTGTGTCTTCGGACTACACAATTGTTCTTTGCAATCGTGTATTGCCATTGCTCATATTGGATCAAAACTGTCTACTAATTTGAAATACCCTCGCTTGCTGTTTACTTGTCAATTGTCGTATGATTTGTACTGGTGAAAACAGGAAGCCACTCTGAAATGGTACATTTTTTTTGTTGAAGGTTTGCCAAGCTACTGATTCCCAAAAGAAAGCTGCTGCTCTCGAGATCCTGAAAGGTAAATGTTCAGTTCATACTGTTGTCAGATCTTACAGAGATGTGCTGAACTTCTCTGATGCGTTGAGTATGCTTTTGGTCAGGTACATATAGTGTAGGATATTGTGTTGCACCATTTCCTCTAGTACTGAATGTTTTATTTATAGAAGCTTGGTGTTCTCTTTTTCATACCAATGTGATGTGCAAGCCTGTTACATTTCTATAGCATGTAAACACATACACATTGATATGCTACATTTCATAGCCCAGCGCTTGACAAATCCCTAGAGTTTTGTTAACATAATTGATATATCGTGTCGGGCTTCAATAGTACCTAGGGTCATAATGTACTTTGTCAGGATTCTTAGTAGTTATAATGAAACATACACGCATATGCTACTGACACAATATGAATCTAAATGTGTTTACACCTTTCTGGAAAGATACTTAAGGTGTGCTCTGTTTTGGTTTAGTAATTTCTGATGACCATGTAGGGCTTAATGCTTATACCTGACGATTTCAAGGGTCTTCTGAACATATGGGTTCTTGATCTTGCATATGCATGCATCTATTGAAGATAAATAAGGCTAATTAGTTTGCCCCTGCTCATTTTGCGTTGCAGAGATAAAAGTTGTCATGGAATTATCCAAGAAAATGCGGCTTGATATCTCTGCTGCTGCTGAGCCTGCTAAACCATCAGACATACCTGCAGTTAGAGATGTCACGAACAAACCTGCAGGAAAAGTTCCATCTGGAGGGAAGAATCAAGTGCCCCAGATTGGCCAGGATAAAGGCAAGAAGGTACCACTCAAGCCTGTAAGCTCGCAGACTCCTGCCGTGGGGATTCGTCGAAAAGCCAATCCAAGTGACACGGCAAACCATGGCAATCAGCTGCTGGGCGGGCGCTTGCAAGGGTCTTACGTCGTTGGTGGATCTCCCATGGGCTGGAATTTTCTCATGTGGCCTGGAGGTAAAGCAGTCTACTATGGCTTGACCAAAGCAGAGTGGTTGGCACGTCAAGCTGCAGAGTGAAATCTCACTTCCACTCTGCAGTCTAACATGTAGTTCGCTCTGAAATATTCAGAGATAACCTAGTTGCTGCTAGTAGCTCGCTGTGATATAGTAAATGGATAGTACATCAGACTAGACATTTGAGTTCTTGGCACCCGAGGTCCTGGACATGGCGAGAGTATCATCAGCGAGCATCATTTTGGAAAGCTTTTCGCTGAATCTACAGCGCGGTGACTATTCACTAGTAGGTATGCAGTGATTTTTCTTGTATTTTGAACCGGCCAAGGCCGCTGCTCTTGTCATGATTTTGCAGTTCAGGAATGGGTACAGCAGGAAGTAGCTTAAACACATTGGCAGGATCGATGCATTTTCTTCCTTAAGTAAGTCCAAAAGCATCTGACGTCATGTTCCTGTGAACTGTGATGGACTCGACTGTTGTTGCAAAGGGGTGTAACATGTGCTGTGAAATGAGACGATAGCGAGGAATGATATTCAGGGTATACCTCTTTTGACATCGCTGTCGGGTTGATCACCGGGTTTGTTCAAACTGGGCTTTGTACTCTGTTTGGTCTCTTTCTTTTGTGGTTTGCTGTATTGTGGGGAACTGAATGTCTGTCTGTTGGGGGAACGTGTCGGTGCACCAGTGCTTGTGGTGCTACCGGTGTACCGGACCTCCTACCACATTTTAAAATGTTCCAAAAATGTGAAAACAAATTAAGCACATTCACACAAAATCAATGTTTGTTATTGTAAAATTTTAAATTGAAATTCAAAACATTGCCTGAGATACGGAAATTACAAATTTGACATCAATATGATAAGGGGTCAAATCTAAAGCCTGACGTATATTACATACACCACTAATAAAACTTATACATACTATTCAGTGTCAAATTTTGCCATTTTTGTATCTCAAGCAATATTTCGAATTTTGCGACAACAAACATTGATGTTGTGTGAATGTGCTCAATTTTATCACATTGTTTAAAACATTTTAAAATGTGCTACAGAGATCCGGTGCACCGGTAGCACCACAAGCACCGGTGCACCAGATACTTCCCCTGTCTGTTGGAGGTCATTGCTTTGTACATAAAGCAGGACGAAAGCCTTTTCCAGTGTTCAGATTGGTGTAGGGCCTGTGAAGTTCGTATTGAAATTTTAACATGGATCCGGCCAGGTGCCGATGAGTGCTGCACCATATTAGCAGTGGAACTTTGCAAGCAGAAGGATGAAGTGCAATTTCGCCTGATGGAGGGAGAGGCGAAGGACGACGGATGGATGATAGGCGATAACAACTGATTCAGCTAGTTATACCACTTATTTACGTACAGGATCTGACCTGATTGGTTTACAGTTATTTTTATTCAAAAAAGGGCTAAAACTGTTTGCGAGGGTCATGAGCAAGTTTCTAAAAAAAATCATAGATTTTAGAAAGTGTTGACGAATTCAAAAAATATCCATGAATTTGAAGAAAGCCCGCCGATTCAAACATTTTTTGAATCCACAGAAATGTTCGTGAATTCATAAACTGTTCATGGATTAAAAAGTTCGTGAATTCGTAAAATGTTCATGTATTCAGAAAATATTCATGAATCTGTAAAGAGGTTCATGGATTTAATAAAGTTGACAAAAAAAAATAAAAGTTGTACATTTGTAAAAATGTCCATGGATGAAAAAAAGTTCATGAGTTTGAAAAAATTGCACAGATTCAGAAATGTTTGTGAATTCATAAAATGTTGATAAATTCATAAAACGTTCATGATTTTGAAAAAATGTTTATGGATTCAAAAAGTTCACAAGTTCAAAAAATATCACGAATTCAGATTTTTTTATAATTTTGAAAAATAATTCATCTATTTGAGAAATTAATGAATTCAAATATTTTGTGTAGAGTTCAAGAAAATTATTGGATTAAAAATTTGTTCGGCCAGGCGGCCTGGGCCGGTTTAGGGACAAAGAAGTCACGGTCTCGCAATAGCTGGGTGCGCCCGCCTGCGTTGTTGGGCCAGGCGTCCAGGACCAGTGTCAATGTAGGGCCCAACAAATAGAAAAAGGTGTGCGCTCTACATTGACACTGGACCTGGCCCCCCTCAAACAGAAAAACGTGTACCTGGCGGCCTCGGTTTCCTATCCTTGTTCGGACGCTGAGTGTCCTTGTCGAAGTACAACACAAGGGCTGGTGCTGCTGCCAATAAAAGTGCAGAGGAATCCCTGAGCGAAAACACCTCGGCATCGAACAAGCGTCCAACTCGTGTCGTAAACCTTCAACTCAAAACAAAGGAGAAAAAAAACTCGTGTCGTAACCTACCTCTTTTTGCAACCTTCCTCGGCGACAAGGGAGGGGAGGACGGGAAGAAGATGAACTACCCGGTGGGGTTCCGCTTCGCCCCGACGGACGAGGAGCTGGTCGAGTACTACCTCCTGCCCCGGCTGCAAGGCCGGCAACACGTGCCCAACGACGCCATCATCGAGGACAACGTCTACCAGTGCCACCCCGACGAGCTCGTCAACGGTACAGTACTTACCTTGCTGTGCACCATGGCTTAACTTACGAGTGTGTTTTATTTACGAGCGCTTGTTGTTTGATCGCAGGCAAGTACAAGGACAAGGGACAAGACAACAACTGGTTCTTCCTGACGTCGAGGACTCGCAAGTACGTCAACGGCGGCAGGCCGGCCCGGTCGACGGACGACGGCCGGGGGCGGTGGAAGGCGTCGACGGGCACCACGGAGGTCGTCGGCGCCACCGTCACGTACAAGGAGAGCGGCCTCGCCTACCATGAAGGCCCCATCAAGACCGAGAAGAAGACCAAGTGGCTCATGCACGAGCTCACCGTCCCGGAGTACGAGAACAAGCTCGACAAGAGCGGTGTCCGGCCCAAATCCGATACGGTCAGTTCCAACACATAACTATATTTTTAGGGAAACGTTTGGGGCCGGGGCACCGGCCGAAGCTTCGGCCGGTCCAGTCCACGCACGCGCGACGCGACCCACTCACGAGCAACCACGTGGCGCGATGGACCCGAGACGACTAGTCGTCCTCCCTTTTCTCTTCTTCCTCTCGCGCATCTCTCTCTTTCTCTCTCCCCGCTGCCATGGTCAACGCATCACCCCGTGCCGCAGGCCTCCCAGGCGCGCCGCCATTCAGCAGATCTGGCCGCCCTCGACCAGATCCGCGGGGATCCGCGTGCATCGGAGCTCTCCCTGCCTCACCAGACCCGGCCACGCCGGAGCTGCAACCAGCCATGGCAGGACTACACCCCGCGGCCCAAATTTGCTGGAACAGGCCGGCGAGTGCTGCAACCGTTGACAGGAAAGCTTCAATTCAAGATTAAAAATGCTTCAACCGTATATACAGAAAGCTGTAAGTGTTCAGTGCTATCGAGGGAAGCTACAACCATCTATATAAAATGCTACAAACTTTGATGAAAACAGCTTCAACCGAACGATAGAGAAAAGTTTTCACCCAGACATTGCTCAAAAAAAAAGTTTCAATCATTTACAGAAAAGCTTCCACCATAGAGGGGAAAAGCTTCAACCATTGAGATAAAAGCTACAACCGTATCAATTTTTTGCTACTACCGTCTGTGTTTTTGCTACATCCATTCATGCGGCCATGGTGCTTTTTTACGACTGAGCTGTGACCGGCGACGACGAGGACGGCATTTTTGTTGCAACATCCTCGTTTTTGCTACCATTGGTGCTGTGTTTTGCTACATCCGTTTAACATTTTTGCTACAATGGCGACACCGATGGATTTTTTTGCTGCAACCGCTGTCTTCATTTGCTACGACTGACACGGGAAAATGCTACCATGGGGCATCTCTCTTTTTTGCTGGAACCAATCATCGGTGAGGCGGAGCTGCATCCATGGCACTCCGACGAGCAGCGGGGGCAGCGAGCGGTCGGGGCGGCCCCGACGGGCGGCCGGGGCGGCCCCGACGGGCGGCCGGGGCGGCGAGCGGACTTGGATGAGTTGAATCGCGGAGCTGCATCCATGGCGCTCCAACGGACGGCCGAGGCGGCGAGCGGTCAGCTCCAACCGGCGGCCGGGGCGGCGAGCGGGCGGGGCGAGCTGAGTGTCGGAGCGTGGGGCGGCCGGCGAAGACGGGCGGCGAGACGGGGTTCCTTTCCCCGTCCGCGCTCGCGAGAGGAAGACGACGCCCTGGTTGGATAAGGATCCAACGGATCGGAACAGGCCGATCTGACGGCTAGGGTTGGACGCCGGTGCGCCGGCGCCTAGCATCGGCCATATTTTTACGTACTTAGCTAATTGCTGGCCTGACCTAACTTGAGAGCGGTTGCATGCATGCAGCTGGATGAGTACCTGGATGAGTACGTCATGTGCAGGATCTACGTGACGCCGAGGAAGCGGAAAAGGAACGACGATGAGGCGGGCCCCAGCGGGACGTCGGAAGAATTTACGTGTCAGGAGCCCGGGCTGGTGGAGACGGCGGGGCCGAAGCTCTCGGAGCGACAGGCGGGCAAGAGGCCCGTCGAGCCGGAGCAGCCTGCCCCGCCCCCGCCGGACCGATGCTTCGGACCACAAGACGGCATGCAAGTGCGCCGTTTCGGGACTGCTACTGGGTACCCCCACGGTGGAACCGGGCTGACGATGATATACAACCCCTATGCATCAACGTCGCGGCCGCCGGTGGCGTTCACCGGCGAGATGACCGCGTACGGGGCCGCCGCACCTCCCCATGGCTATTTCTCCCAGGCAACGATGATGCGACAAATAGGTGCCACGTCCGCGCAAGCGTTCAGACCACCGCCGGCGACTATCTCGCGACGTCCGCAGATGATGCAGAAGCAGCCGGAGACGGAAGAGATGCGCCAGAAGCGAGTGTACCAGCAACATGTGAACGAAATGGTGAGGTGTGGCATGATGCAACAGCTTGGAAATGCGGCTTACGCTGCGCAGCAACCGCGGCCGATGGCGTTCATGAAGAAGGAGCAGCAGCAACCATACTTTGGCGCTGGAGTGAACAATCATCATGTGGCCCCTCAGTTCCTGCCTTG